AGGAAATTACAAGAAGATAAGAGTCCTTCTTTAGGAACACTTCCTAACAACATTTATCTTTAAATAATAATGCTACTACCTAATTAATAGGAACACTGAAATTAGCTAAGAGATAAGATAGGAACACTGAATCTAGCTAAGAGATAAGATAGGAACACTGAATTTAATGCCCATTACTGCTGCTGTCTGCGGCTGTATTTCTTTCCAACAAAAGCATCCACAATATTGTCTAAGAGACCACACTCCCAGGTTTCCAGTTTGCATCCACCCTATTACCAGCTTGGAGTCTCCTTCCATTTCTAATTGCTGCATGCCCCATTGTTTCACCAGTTTCAAACCTTGAAGTAAGGGTTCGAAGCACGGATTCAAAGACTGGAGTACCAAACATGTTTTGTTGTGATGGGTAGAAGCACGGATTCGAAGACTGAAGTCTACCTTTTTCTACATTGTTCATTCTTGAGTGCAAGTTTGCATCCATTTTTTGAATCCAACTTTGCTCCCATTTTGAATGCAAATATTTATTTTGATCAGTCTTTTGAATGCAAATATTTCAGAAAAAAAAAAACAAATTTGCTGTCATTTTCAATACAAAAATGTTTTCTAACCAAATGCTTGCAAAACTGAACTGGAGTGCAAATTCTCTTTGGTTCAGTGTTTGCACTCTTACTAAATGCAGTCTTATTTCATATTTGAACAGTTTCTTCTAGCAGATGGCATAAAGAAACAGATACACACAATTGGTTGAGTTGGTCAGCTCTTGTTCTCTACTAAGAAAAGATTCAACATAGCAAGTTTAAGACTATAAGTTGAGGTCCTAGACAACTGGGTACCCTACTAGACAACTTTATGAACCTCTTTTGCAATTTCTGAAGGCTCTAAAATACATTCTTTTGGAGATTGACGCCAAACAGAAGACTAAAAACCAAAAATCAACATATTTAAGAATTATTTGAAACTATGAATTACCCTTGGCTGAGTGTTGTTTTCTTCTCTTTTCTTCTTTTTTTTTTTTGCTTCACCTTTTTCTAATGATGATTGAATTGTAAGAGTTGGGTTTTTGGTCCCACTAGAGCCCCATGGGCCCCATGTGAGGAAACCCCGTTTGTTCAAAACTAAAGAAACCAAGTAAACAAGATGGTGTCTTGGATAAACATGCATATTTAAGTCCTTTTTAATCCTGAGGTTGCAGTTGAGTGGTTGTTGCTCATATTGGTGGGCAAAGCCAAGATGCCAATTTGTAAAGTTAAGGTCCTTGAGCATGGGATCAGTCCACTGAAAATGCACTGTATTTCAACATTTATGAGATGGTACCTATAGTTTTCCACCTAATCTGTTGTTTGATGTGGCAGTTTACAGTTTCAAAATTGCATCATATTTGCATTTTGCATGGATTCACTGTTGCGATCAAATTCAAACTTCTATTTATTTGTGAATTTCTCTCATCTTTGATATTCTTTTGGATTATAGAAAAAAGGTCGATTCTTATTGATTATTTTTTGTACCTTACAATTTGCATAAAACATGGATCTGACAATCTGGATTGTAATTTATTTGTCCAAGCCTCTATTCTTTTCTAAGTTCCCCCTTAAATATTCATTTGGATTTTACCTAGGTCTGTCCTTGATAAGATCTTTCTTTGTTTTTATTTAAACTCTTCAATGCAGATAGTTGATTTGGCAACGTTGACTGGGGCATGTATAATTGCCCTTGGACCTTCTATTGCAGGTATATGAACTCGTATGCCTTACTTTCTGATTCTGCATTTCAGGAACCTTCTTTTTTATTTTCTTTTGTCCTTCGAAATAATAAAATTGCTCAGTGCAGTGTTTAAACACAGTGCAGTAGATAGCAAGACTATGTTGGTATATTGGCCTATTTCCAGCTATATCCACACTCATGTGAAAATGTTCAAAACTTGTCTAAAGATTTGAAGTTGAGTTCTTGTCCAGCTGCTCAATGGAGAACCTTTATTTGTGAGACAGGAGTCTTTACACCGAGTGACGACCTGGCTAAGGAGGTTTTTGCAGCTTCACAGATAAGTGGAGAGAAGCTCTGGAGGATGCCATTAGAAGAAAGCTATTGGGAGTCTATGAAATCAGGAGTAGCTGATATGGTCAACACAGGAGGCCGCCAAGGCGGTGCTATAACTGCAGCCCTATTCCTGAAACAGGTATCCACATGATTATTTTCTTTGTTATCCCTTCTGAACATGGACTAGACACTTGTAAAGGAAGAGGCTACCTGATAGGGGATTAGAGCACTGGCCTAATAAAGCAACTAAGTTGACTTGCCAAATTTGACATAAAGCTTTAATTGCTCAAAAATATTTAATGTAAAGCTGCCTTACATGTACATTTGCTAACTGGACAACTTGGAATACTGGGAGAAAAAGAACCTAGTAGAATTCTTCAACAAGAATAAAAAACATAGTAGTCTACTTTGGCGAAGGCTTTTTCTCAATTGAACTCTATTGAGTGGACTTGTTTCCTGTGATTCATGATCATGAATTGGTTAATTCCCTGCCATTAGATTCCTTCCACCATGGAGGTCTCTCAGGATAAAAGCAAGGAAATTTGAAATAACTGAATGATACTAGCCCTCATATCACATTCCATTTTTTATTTTTGACTAAAAAATTGTCAAATTACTTGTGAAGACCTAGATGGGACATGGTTGGTAATTCTTTACCCCACTTCATGTTAAGCATATTGAATATTTTTAGGTCAGGTTTGATAATATGCTATTATGCCTTGCTGAGTCTCACCAAGTAGGGACGGCAACAGGTAGGGTACCCGTGAAATTCCCCTTCCCCTTCCCAAACCTTCCAAAAGCACCCTTTATCCCAAACCCATTCTTTTCAATTTCCCAAACCTATCCTGTCCCAAACCCATCATCACAGAAGTGAAATGTGATGTTCCTCTTAAACAAAAATGGTGCGGTAGGCTAGTGGTGAAGACACCTATACTGGGACACAAGGGAAAGGATTTGAATCCCTCTAAACCCTTTTTACTATATCTGCTATTTCTTATTAAACACTTGAGATATATTTATCAGGGTTTGACTATGATACCAGAAGAACGTACAAAGTTATAACCAATCAACTGGTATCATAATGGTAACAAATCAAATGTTTTTTGTTAAAATTCACAGGGGATTTTAATTGGTCAAAGCTTTTCCAAATACATGCCTTCTCGGCATCATAGATTTTCTAATATATACATGGGTTTATAATCAAGTAATGGGAGTATGTACCTATGTTAAATATAATTAGGTTCGGGTATCAGATACCCTAAGGACAAAACCAAAACCCTATAGGGTTTTAATCTAAAATTTCAAACTCTATAGGGTTTTGATTAACGGGTCCTATTAGGGTCAGGATGGGTCAGGTACCCCAAATTCCCACAAAATGGCCATCCCTATCAACAAGGAGTTAGGGACTTGGGCCATCTGGAACCATGACCAAAGGTCTACATTACCATCTCCAAATCATAGTGGGTTTACTGGGAAATGAATAATTTGATTCCGAAATTGATTAAATTTTCCTTTGCAGTTTGTCAATGAAAAGGTCCAATGGATGCACATAGACATAGCTGGCCCTGCTTGGAATGAGAAGAAACGCACTGCAACTGGGTTTGGTATCTCGACTCTGGTAGAGTGGGTTCTAAGTAACTCTTCATAATTATGGTGAAGGACCTGAAGGTACAGTGATGAGGTATAACAAAATTCCAAGAGGAATCTCAATTGGGTTATGTGTGCAACAAGATTGGCCAAGTATTAAATAAAATGTGATGGACAAGAAAGAAGAGGAAGAGGAGAAAACTTGAGATGACTGGTGTAAATTTTAGCTTATGGTGCACAAAGACGATTACAAAAGCGATTCATGGATTGGAATGTCTCTGGCTTTGATGATCAGTCATGCATCTATGGTAAACTTGGATAAGAAGGAATTAGATTAATTTTGGAGCCTCACAGTTCAAAATGATGTGGGTCAAGTTGTTTTGATGTTTCATTTTAATGGCCTGGCCTTGATAAAGGAGTATCAAACTAGGCTCCATTTGGTTTGCAGGAATAGGGATCTGGAATGGGAATCGGAATGGGTTATTCTAATTCCAACTATTTGGTTGCGAGGAATCGGAATCCCATTCTCATTCTTGCCGGAATGGCCTTCCCCAATTTGAGGGAATGGCCATTCCCTGCCCGCCCCTTGGGAATGAAATCTCAGTTTTGCTGATTCCAATTCTCATTCCTATTCCTGTCTGAACCAAGCAGACTATGGGAATAGACCATTCCAGTTACAAACCAAACAGACCCTTACTTTCTTTACTGCATGTTTCTTTAATCGGATATTATGTGTAACGACTCATTATGGTTTATACCCTAAGATTCGTCTTGAACTTTTTATTAGGAGTATTTTATGACTTCTGATACAAGTCTACTGTTGCTAGATGGGCAATGGCCTCTTTTGAGGAATAACCAAGAGGAGGTGGATTCGGCAGTTCAACTGGGCGGTTAGCCTGTTGAGCATCATTTTCTTACGATCTTACCACTTCAACCCATGCCACTTTGGTTTGGTCCTAATTCTTTTGGACTTTCAACTTGTATACATTACTTCTTCGTGTTTTAGATGGCCTTTTCCATAGGAGATGAAACCATCCTAATCTAATTTTCTTCATTTTTCAACCCTTAGAATCACTCCTATGTTTCTTTGAATATGTTCAATCCTGATATTGACATTTTTGGTTTTTGGGTAAATCTATGGTAATTGGAAGAGTTTTGATCAATCAAAACCCACCAGTGAATTTTGATAAAGTCCACTTTATTGGTAACATGTTTATGTTGCTAGTTGATTGATTATTTTTTTTTTGAAAATCACGTCTTTCCAGTATTATAGTATTAGTGTTAGTTTTTTTTTTTTTTCTCTCATTTGTCTCAACATTTAAGATGTGTTTGGTTGTAGTGCAATTTTATTTGCACTAATACAAATGTATGGGAGTGCAAATATAAAAAAATGCAAATTCTTGTTTATTTTTTGTTTTGGATTTTACTTTATTCTGCTCCATGTCTTAATTTACTTTATTTGTACTGTAATCAAACAAAATAAGTTAAAATTCAAAACAAAAATAGGTCAGAATTTACACTCAAATAATTTATACTGCTATGGTTTTGCATCGTGCAAATTTATTTTCATTGCAATCAAACACAACCTTACAATTTTGCCATTCAAGCTTCATGTCCATGCTATAAAAATCTAACTAAAATATTTTACGGCCCATTTGATTTGAATTTGAAATCTAAACAAAATCCCTTTGAATCAGAATGAGAATGATTTATTTTCATAGTCTATTTGGTTTAGACAGGAATTAGAATCGGAATTGGAATAAGTTAGAATGCAATTTTATTTCCAAAGAGGAGGGAATGATCATTCTTTCAAATAGGGAAATGCCATTCTAGAAGGAATGAGAATGGGACTCGGATTCTATCCAACTAAACAATTGAAATCAGAATGATTTTCCTCTGAACCAAATAGGCCCTTAGTAACATCACATATGTTGATGTTTGCAAATAATAATTGCCCAAATATTTTAATCCTATGTAATAATTGAATTAAATCATTCAATGAAACACAATAAAAAAATCTTTCAAAATCCAATGTCTTTTCATCTTTTTATGGTTTTAAATTTCTGTTATTTGCATGGCATGTCCTTTTGTTAGTATAAAAATGATTTTGACAAATTCATTGTGGTAGGTCTCATGAGTCCTCTAATGTGTACAAGTAATATTAAAAAATTATTATATATAATGATCAGAAAGAATCTTTAAACAACCACTGTCTCTTTTAGCAAAAACTCAACATCAAACCAATTTAACTAATTTAGCACAAATTTTTTAGCTTTATTTCATTCCTACCACAACAAAAACGGTGAAATAGGATTCTAACCATCTTTTGATTTACAAATAAAAATAGTTTTTACACATCTAAACCCTAACCCCCAAATTTTAAACCCTAATTCCTAAGTCTTAAATCTTAAACCTTAAAATTAATTGTAGAAAAAAAAAACATTCGGTGGACACATATCCTTTGACTGGTTATGAGCTAAAGTTTTTCTCCCAAATTTATGAATACTTGTTGGTTGGTTGCCACTTGTAGGATCGGTGGAGATTATTAGCTTTTTTCGGTATTGTCGTGTCTTTGACATCATAGTGGGGCTCCCTAACAAATGTGCCAAATGCTTTCGGGTTCAAATGGTATCTGATTCTCTGAATTCAAAATTGAAATTGATCCCATTAAGGGTGACCTAAATTCAATCAATTTATAATTGGATCTAATACGATAATTTTGATTTGATTCGATTTAAAATTTCATACTCATACTGTTTTATAGAATTTTCCTTTTAAAAATGCAGATGCTAAAATAGAAGAATGAAAATACTAAAAAAGATAGGATTAGGAATGAAAGCAGCCATAGGAATTTGGGAATAACTCCATTATGTATTAAAATGAAAGAAAGTAGATTAAAATGGTTTGATCACTTGCATGGAAGACCACCAACAACTTTAGTTAAAAGAAGTTATTTGTTATGAATTGAAAGAGCTAGAAAAACTAGGGGCAAACAAAAAGGAGACGGGTAGAAAAACTAGTTGATCCCATATAGTTGGGATGAGACATGGATGATGATGAACTATTAGAAAAGTTGACTTAAATGTTATATATTAGTAATTTCCAATTAATTTTGTTCACAAAATATAACATTAAAGTCATCTTTATTCATTTTATTAATGCTATATAATATTTTAATCATTTCTAGTTCAATTTATTTATATTATTCAATACCCCATTGCAATGCAAATTCAATTCAAGTCTAACATAAACCCAATTGATAATATCCAATTCAAATATAAGTGAATCAAATTTGCATTTGCATGTGCTTGATTGGAATATCTGGTTCAATCCTTTTGTATCACCACTCATTAGGGATGGTAATTTCTATCCTACCCGGTGGGTGCCTCTGCCCCAACAGTGGCAGGTTCATTTTGCTTGAAGGACAAATTTTTGGGTAAGGATGGGTTTTGGCCTTTGGGATTCTACAACACAGGTAGGGTATTGTATAGGCTATAACCAAACCTTTCCAATCCGCAATATTGTTGGAAAGCATATAAAATTTATGTATTAGATGTTGAATTTAATAACATTTTAAAGTTTATGTGAAGGATTGATAATTTATGTATTTTTTATACATCTTAATCAAATAATTGAAAGTTTTATTATTTATTCATATTATTTTACTTATTTAGTATATATATACAAAAAAAAACTAATAGAAAATTAGATTCGAGTTCTAACCGCCCAACCCTTAAATATAGAGAGAATAAGATTGGGTAGGCTTTTGAGTTTTCATATGAAAAAGGTTTGGATTCTCAAAATCCAACTCAAAAATTTAGGAAGATGGATAGAGAGTCTATTCACACGTGTGTATAGACAATTTTCCGATTCTTCACGTGCGAGCTTTACGGGGAAGATCGGAGTTTCTTACACGGAACATGGCTGCTTCGGTTCAAAAGACCCAGGTTTCTGACATGATTCGACTAGTCTCCTTCATTCGAGCTTTACTCAGTTCCAAATTCAATCCAGTAGCCTTGGATTGCTTCGATTTTATCGCAGAGGAAAAGGAAGAAAGCTGCTTCGTTCTGTTGTTGCCAAGAAATTTCCTAGATTGATTGATGATCATGTAGAGCTACACTTAGATTTTGATAAAATGAGTGTTTCTCTTTCTGTAATGACCTTCAATCTTCACGGAGATCAGCTAGAAGATAGTCCAAACTCATGGGAGAAAAGGAGAGATTTATGCATAAGCGTCATTACCAGCTATTCTCCCATGATCCTCTGCACTCAGCAAGGTTATTCTACTTGGTTCTTCTTTTTCTTGCTTGCCTTTTGTTGCTTGATCTAGGAGTCCTGTAACTGAGATTTTATAGACGGATTCCTGCTGTAGGTCTAAAGTCTCAGTTGGAGTTTCTTCAGCAGGGTTTACCAGGTAATTTGTCATGTCGGTCCGGTCTTGCGAGTAAAAAGAATAATACTAGTCTTCTGAACTAATGAGCTCCATAAATGTACTAATTTATTTGTCTCTCTATCTTGCGTTGGATTTAGTTCATTTTAGCTCTTTCTGAACTTAACCAGCTTGTTTTGGATCGGAAAAGGAAAACTTGTGTACCGTTCATCTACTCAGTTTCTGATCTTTGCATGCATAACTGGCATATCTGTTTGTTATCTCGTATATTCATTGTTCAACTTTATCCAAGAGGCACGATATCTGTTGCATCCTCACAGCCACAGGCATTAAAGTAGCCAGGAAAAGAAAAGGTTTCTCCATCATTGACCTGTATAACCTGACCTTTGCAAGCCAAGTTAGGCACTCCATTGTGGAATAGAACAGAGACCAAATGTTAGTTATGACCAAACATTGGGTATTTGGGTTTTTAGTTTGGGATACTATTGATAAATCATTACAGAGGGCTGAGGTATAACCCTGTTCTGAATGAGATGCTTCTTGCACAAGACTCTAATTTGATAACCTCAGTCGTATTGGTAATCATTGGAAGTTTTTGGTTAATTAGTCCCTGCAGCTAGATGCATGACATATTGAATGCGAGGTTACATCTGTTCCCCTCTTTTTAGGAAGTTTACCAAGGTCTTTTCATTTCCTTTCCTTTTTATGATGATCTATTCATAATATCTTCTTTCATTTCCCTTTCTTCCAATCTTCTATTCAAGATCCTAGTTTTGAATTTCCACCCCAATTGAAGACTAGCCATTGCAGTGCCAGTTTTATGAGTGGGATTTAATTTTGTGGTTGTCCTTTATTATATACACACAGGAACTATGTTGGTAACCTCTAGCTAAATTGTTATAGCAGTGAAAAAAATTGTCATGAAGAGTTGATGGCCTGTTCATGATAATCAATATTGGTAGAAGATGAAGGATCTTATATGCATATTTTTTAACAGTAACAATAGAAGTTGGTTTTTATGGATTAGATATGATCATATGAGAAGTATGATTTACAAGGGAGACACCCATCAAATAATAGTGAGACCCATCCAATGTTGCACATGCATTGATGCCTTGCGTCTTGAGGGCTCAGGGTTGTCCATGAACTACAGTTTAGTTGTATTGATATAGTGGAATTGCTACTAGTGTTTTAAAAAAGGCCATTACCTGTTGTTGGTCTCAGATATTTGGGGTCTTGGGAGAGGTGGATTGTATATGGTCCTAATATTTGGCATTTTTTTGCACAAAGTGGCCATCTCAGACTTGAACCCACGTTCTCATGCATGACAGCCTGAGGTTTTACCATTACACCAAGAATGGCTCCTTATTAGTGTTTTTCTATCAATTAATGGGATTGAGAGGATTTATCTCAGAAATGAAGAGAATTGAGTGAGATGATATGTTTTGGCTTAAGAATATGTTGAGATAGTGGATGCCATTGCTAGACTCTACACATGTTTCAATGACGCAAATTATCATCTCCTATACTATTTGTTTTAATGAATTGGTCACTTGAACTCTTATATCTTTCTGTTTTAATTGCACTTGGATATGCTACTCTTTTAAATTCTAATTTAAGGTTTAAAAACTTGGATGTGATGGAATGACATATGGCTTAAAGTTTTCTTTTTTTTTTATTAATTCATACTTGCACACACAATTTACTTTATTCTGAACTTAGAGGAGTTTGGATATGCTGCTGAAGCTTCAGAATCAAATACTCAGATGAGAGACTTGAACATGAGGCATTCATGCAAGTGCATTTTGGTCTATACACAAGAGGTGTTTTGTAGCAATTTTTTTGATAAATGGAAAAAAGGATTATATTATAGTATGAAATTAAAAAGGACGGCAAGACACCCTCCACTATACAAGTATCACTATATCATGTATTTGACAAAAGAATCACTATACCATGTACATTGATATACAAAAGAAATCACAAAGTAATTGAGTTCCAATCATTTGTAAAATCTGCTACTGAAACTCCAGAGAATAGGTGCAGCACTCTAGCCCACTGAATTAACACCTTCTCCGTTCTGCTTATCACCTCCTCCCATGAACAAATTTTCCTTTGAAACACCCTTCGGTTCCTTTCTTTCTAGCCTGCCAGAAGGTTGCAAAAGGTAGCTGATCCCATAAATAGCAGGCATTGTCCACGTTCATCCCTTTTTAATCAGAAGATTGAAAGTTTGATTTTGACCCCATCCAGCCAACCATAACATGAAAAATGACATTTGTAGGCACCTTTGCTCACCAGATCCAGAGTCCACTCAATCTTGGGGAAATCATCAATTAATACCCTATAACAAGACTTGGTGGAGAAAGACCTTGAGTGCTCCAAGGTCCAGATCCTTTTGTCCCTTGATTGCATGTTTAACTGGACATCCTCCAAACATCCATGAAACTCACCCACCATCCCAACCTCCCAATCATTCAGTTTTCATCTGAACATTGGTGCCCACACCCACTGAGATCCAATCCACTCAATCAGGTATTTTGTAGTAATTCTTCCTTGTGCATGTGCAAATGTAGCATATAGATATGCTGCTGAAACTTTAATAGCAGATACAGACTAACATTGAAGACCATGCTAAAAGAGGATGTTTTTTCCTTTTTATCCTTAAGGTTATGGCCAATTTGGAATTTCAAGAAAAGGATCCCATGACCCTTCAGACGAGCACTGCACCATCTTCTATGACAAGGAGAAGGTATCAGATCCTTTGTCTGGCTTTTTTATTAGATGGTAATAGTACTTTTTTTTAAGGGAATTTTATAAATTATACCCTTTTGCTAAGATATTGTCATATTTAATGAAGGTTGACTTGCTAGAAGGGGGAACTTTTTGGTTATCAGAGTCACCGTCTGTTCCAGGAAGCACATCATGGGGGTCTGCAGTTCCATGTATTGCAACTTGGGTGATATCCTTTTCTAAAGCTCCCATATACATACATACTAACATGATTTCCACACATATACACTGTAACTTGTTTCTTTGACATGATTTCCACACATTTCAACTCAAAGGAGTTGAGCCACCAGGTTTTTCCTTCCAGATAGTAAATACTAACATGGATGAGTTTAGCTCTCGTGCCCGTAGAAGAAGTGCTTTGCTTACATGGCAGCATATAGCATCCTTACCTCCTACCTTGCCAGTTGTATACTGTGGAGGATTCAACACTCAGAAGGAATCAACTACAGGTCGTTTCCTGCTTGGTACTTCAAGGTATCAGTTTTGAAAGTGCCTTTTCATATTATTTATTCGAATATTAAATTTTTATATTAGTGCTTACATCATTTATATTTGGTGTACTTTTCCTTTTAAACTAGAGAATGAACCTGTACCATGTATGGGGCAACTACACCCATATATCATTTTGTTTATATTTTATTTTTGTGATTATAATATCATTTTGAGATTCAATATTTATCTGGTAATTATATCTAATTTGAATCCCTTATTTAATTTAAATATTTAAGTCAAGTTTAATTTGTAATTTAAAAGTCTGTACGAGTCTTTTATTTAAATTAGGAAATTGAATTACAAAGATTAATACGGGTCATGTATCTTTTGGAGTGGATACTTTTCTTATAGGTAGGTAGCCATGTGTCTAAAGTTAGAACTTTTTTTCTTGTGATTAGAGATAACTACTCTCACCTTTTTGGGAGTGGATAGACACATGTTGAAGAAGAAAGCTTTTATTTGAGAGTAGAAAGTACCCACATTTGGATACTGTTTCTTGAAAAAATAGAATGCCATGTGTTTGAAGGATAAACTCCCTATTAGGTGGATGTGTGTGTGTGTATCTTCTCATATTATGTCATCCTACAATTTTCCAGTGGTCAAATGATTAATCTGGACCAGACAGATGGACTATTTGGACTTCGAAATGGTTATCAAACTACCAAACCAATTTTGACTAAATCCTGATCATTCTTAGGTCAATCTTGGTTAGAATTCTTTATCTATTTATTAAACCCCCTCCCCCCAAAAAAAAAAATTCTATATTTTCTTGTTTTAGTGGATTTACAATTTTCTTTACTATTTTATATTCATTCATTGGACGATCCAAACTAAACAGAGAAACCATTTGAACTTTGAAATGTTGAACTTCCATTGCTAATATTTAGAAATTCAATTTTACAATTTGGCAAGTAGTGGGAGAAGTGTGATTTAGTAGTTGGAAACCTTGATAGATTGGACTTCTCATTAGTTCTGAGTTCTGGTATAATGGTCTGATTAGGAATAGAAGGGTGTTTAGGGGGGATGAAAATGCAATGCCATTTAATGGCAAAGAGAATTGGAGAATCTGTGTGTGTTGCATGTTTTACTCATTCTCTTTGGGTTTTATAACCATTATGGGGGTGTTTGACAATATGAATGGTTTTGTTTTCATATGTTTTTTCTTTTTCTTTCTTTTGAGAAAGACAAAGTAAATTTTATTGACAAAAAGAATGATACAACACCCCATTGATGGGCACTCAAGACTACAGAGTCCTCAAACAAACCACAAACATCACATCACATCGATACAAGGTCAGCATGATACAAATATCGCAATGGGGTAGTCAGTGAGACATCCTTAAAGACCGAGGCCCAGGAACCCACTCTGCCTGTGGCTATATTAATAAAGCTCCTCTGCACATTTTGCCTTAGCTTAGAAGATTTTGCTGTTCCTTTCAGACCAGATTCTCCAAAGATTAACTTCTGGTACCAAAGCCGGGACTTGCTTTTGGAGCTCTACCTTGAATCTGCTAGGCATGCTAGAAGTCTTAACATACAACCAGGCATTGCCCAACACATGTTAGACATTTTGAAGAAGTGGATCCAGATCTGACCAACAAGTTGGCAGTGCAAAAATATGTGGTCGATGGACACCAACTCCTTTCAATGGAGAAAGGAGCTCTTCCAACCAGTAGACCGTAAAAAGTAGTTGACAGTTCAATTTGAGAACAGCTTTTGACATTTGAGACAGGTTTCTATGTCAATGATCCAGATGTTCTCCTAATTTGTAAATTTATATAACCAGTTGACCTGATTGAACTTTCCACTATGACATGATCAGTTTCAGAGTACCAGTCATAAGAATGCAGCATTGGTTTTGGAGGGCTTCCCTCCCACTCATCACAGTTTGAAACATTTAGCACATAACCATTGGATGATAAAGATGTAAATGTTGATTTTCTTGTAGTACAGTATTGATTAAAATTTTATTGTTGTATGGGGAAATCCACTTTGTAATCAACTGTTGACTTGCTAGAAAATGTTTGATTTCTTGTATGGGATCTTCCTCTGGTTCTTCAGCAGTGTGATGCTTTGTGTTTTTATTGGATTTCTTGTATGGGATCTTCCTCTGCTAGCAAATGTTTGATTTACTAACACAATTTGCTCATTAATGCTCTTTCATTCAGCTGTCATGCTTTTTCTTTCCGTTTTATGTAATGCCATAGTTGCAATTCATTTTACTAGGATAGATTAGTTAGATGCCCTTTACATGCCAAGCATAAGTATCCACTTAGTATAGATTGGTTTCTCTGATGAAGAAAATTTATTTTAGTGTAATGATTTTGGCCTTTCCATTTTTGATAAACTGGGCAATCCCTAATTTGTAGTAAAAAGGGCATGTCTTTTAAGTTTATTTGTATTTTCAATGGGAAGTGCTTGTTTTACCAAATGGAATGTTTCCATATCCTGTTTTGGAAGTCTGCTACCACTTGAGCCTTGACATGTAGATGCAAGTGCAAACATTTGGACTCAAATGTTGTTTATGTCGGGAATGATGATTGCTGCCATCTCTTCTCGCTACTTGACTGCAGAGAGCATGGCGTTGTAGGTGATATGAGGGATGCATGGCCTAACGCTCGGGTGAGGAAAAATGCTTCACTTATACGCACTTTCCATGGATTCAAAGGTACTCCAACTTTTCTTCCAAGGGTGCTTATTTCCTGATGAAGTTATAATCTACTCAAATTTCATTCGGTATTGCAGGTGACAAACAGGGAACTCTTGAATTCCTCAAGTTGATACTTAGAGCACTTTGCCTCTGCTGGGACCGGCAAACTCAGGATCTACATGTGGATTGGGTTCTGTACAGAGGGCGATCTCTAATTCCTGTTTCCTGTGAGGTGGTGAATGACAACATTGATGGATTTTATCCATCATCTCACTATCCAATATTTGCCGAGTTTATGCTTCCTCGTAATGTGAGGCTTCTTGGCGTTCCTGCTCAAGAAAGAAGCTAGGCTTTGGCCCCTTAATTTCCCCCTTTTATTCTACTCCTTTTTTGCCTTCAAAATATAATGCGAATGCTGCTTGTGATATAAGCTGTTTCAATCTGTTATTTTCCTGATGCTTTATGTGTTAAAATACAAATAGAAATTTCATAATTTTAGAAGGGTCTCAGAGGAGTGAAAAGGGATGGTGTTCCAAAAAATGGGAATACCCAGTGACTATATGTGCATTTGGGCATGCATTGGCGTGTTAAAACAGAAATAAGATCAAACATATCTATTCCGTTTCAGTGTACAAGAAAGTCTCAACTGGATTCAAAACTTATAACTGAACAATAGATATGGCATTAAAAAGAATGGAATTAGCACCATCTCTTGCATCATGACCTTATAATATTCCTTTGTTATGAAAAAGCCACAAGGAACCACAGAAGCCACTGGTGCAAATGCAAGGAGTTAGCAGGAAATTCAGACACTGGAAAATAACTATCCGCTATAAGTTTTATTTTTTCTCCACATCTACCAGACTACCACCACATCTGAACGACTAAACAGATTATTCCGTTTACCATTCAAAAAAGGAAAAAAAAAACTGATTATTCCATTTTTGATTACTGGATGTCTGAGCATTGAGCTTCCTCCCAGCAAGTTTGCTAGTTTGATCATTTGTAATTTAATCTCGACTTCTAAGATTAAGTAATGGTGATTGGGTATTGCGACGGGGTACAGACAGCATTGACTTATTGTGTATGAGTTATAAGCATTAAGCAATGGTGCTTAAGCAAGCAAGCAAGCTTCCCTTTCAAAACTCCCACAACCCTGATTGTGTTTGGAATTGCAAAAGGACTCTTGTATTGGCATGAAGAGTGCAGAACCTAGATCATCATCCATTGTGATAAAGCCCCAAAGCATACTTACTGATTGTTTTACAGCAAAGATTTCTGATTTTGGATTGGCATTTACTCATCTTCTGCCTTGAGACCCCTCCATGTCACCTCTCGTCCATTCAGCTGGAATTTCATTTCAAGCTCAGCAAAATTCCAGGTGATGGGCCCCAACGTACACAACCATGGGAGCCCAAGTACCACGTCAGCACCTTCAAGTGGTAATAAATAGAAATCAGCCACGATGGTTGTTCTTTGCAGGTTCAATGAGATCCCTGAACAGCGTCCCTGGCTGGTCAACCTTCTTCTAGGGGCAATCACCTCCAAGGTGTGCTTTGATTCGCATAGTCTGAGATGCTGGACACCCAGTCATGGCATGTACTGAGATTGCTGGAACTTCATATTCTCTCTTTTCTTCTGGTTCTTCCCCATTCTCTTCATGTCGCCCAGCATGGCGATGGGCCTCATAGAGGCAAGCTAGGCCGACCGCAGACAAGAGACAGCTAGGTCTCCGAGCCTGTACTTCAACTCTGATGGAGTCCTTGAGACCACTGATAAAACAACTGATCTGCTGAGCTTGAGAAAGCTTCTCTGTTCTACTGAGTAGTCGTTCAAATTGGGACTGATATTCCCTCACCGTCCCCGTTTGTCTTAGTTTGGTAAGCTCCCCAAAGGGATCATCATATTGACTAGGCCCATATCGAGCTCGCAGTTCTTCCATGAGTATCTCCCATGAAAGCACTCCTTTTTCTTGCTTCAGCAAGTGATACCACAATTGAACATCCCCTTCCAGATGATAAGCTGCCAATGGTAACTTTTCATTCTCCTTGATCTTTTGGATCTCAAAGAACTGTTCTACCCTGTAAATCCAACTAGCCGGATCTTCGTTCCCATCAAAGCGAGGGAAATCGAGATTTATCAGCCAACTAGTCGATGTTCCCATTGTCGAACCAGAACTTCTGACTGCGGATTGCTCCATCCTTTGAGTTAGAGCTGCCAACATGTCCTGCATCTCCTTCATCATTCGTTCTTGCGCAGAAACCAAGGTCTCCACAATGGTCTCGAGTTGACTGATCCATGCACGCTCCCGCCGACGAAATGATTCCATTTGTATCCGAGCTTGACAACCTTTCTTCTTAGAGAGTTACAGGAACACAGGTTCTGCTCTTAGAGACAATCAGGCATCTACTCACAACTGAGTCGTTGTGAACAAACATAACCAGATCTAAAAGTGAAACATTGCATTATCGTCCCCTTTTTGTTACAGGTCTGGTGGAAGAAAAAAAGCATAAAAACAAGAGAAAAAGATGGACACGATCACAGACGACCACCTATTGCGGAGCTTGACTCTGAACAAACTAACGAACCAAGAGACTCGTTCTACTAACACCACCGAAATGATCGAAATGGATGGATAGATAATAAGTCACGTAACTGGGAACTCGGGGAAGTCATTGTGGTTGAGTGGGTACATGTCAATCGCTCAGACCTCTTCTGTGTATCTTCTCTTATTTCAACCTTGTGAGACACTGTATTTACCCCAATCTGGACATTTTATCTCTCATGTATTGGAATAGAAATCGCTTTGGCTGCACATAAAACCCAGATGACATTCAATAACAAAAAAAGGACTCATTTTCATAGCGTTTCGCTTAGCATGAAAAAAAAAAAAACCTGGATTTTGAGAAATATAAGAGTGCCGGGAGATTTTTGAAGCGGGAGGAACTAAAACCTTTAATAAATGGCATTCCGGTTGTAATTAAAACCTTTAGCAACAGTTTTTATCGACTGTTGCTAACGTTGTTTTTCTTTTTAAATTTAAATTCATTAGAAGATGTTCTCGATCCAAACTATTCGACATGTAAAAGGTGTTTTATAACTTAAACTTTCTATTAGTACAAATATCTCGGAGTTTTGTCAAAGTTTTTAGTGACAAGACTTTAAACCAACTATTCTTAAGACAGACTAGAGATACCCATACATATAAAAATGTCTCGTCTCTGTAAGAGGTTCAAATTTTGCTCAATACTATTATTGTCATGTGCTTCTTTCCTGGTTTCATGAACAATCCTGAGAGTAAACCCAAGCTCTTATGAGAAGCAACACCACTTCTATGTTCACATAGGTGAATTTCCACTATGTGTTACATTATTTGACACATTTCAAAACCTCGTTAAGAGATTATCTCAACCTCTCATCATAATAGACAAAACGGTTTATGTTGCGATGGGAAATTTCTTAATTTCTATGCTAACAATTACATTACAATAACTTGTTGTTACTCGTTAATCCCATCATTGATGTTTTCAGTTTAGGTTGATTTACCATTACTGGTGACTAAGTAAAGGGTTTTAATCTCATCTCTTTAGTTGTCGTTCTTACCAATTGTCTGAGTAAACCTTTGGTAAGAGGATCAACCAAGTTTTTACTTGACCTCATATAAGTTATAGTGATAATTCCATTTTGAATTAGTTGCCTAACAAATTCATGTCTCAAACTTATATGTCTAGACTTACCATTGTAGGTACCACTATATGCTCTTGACAGAGTTGCTTCATTATTACAATAGATGAAAATTAAAGGCATTAGACTAGGCTAAAGTTTTATATCCAATAATAAATGCCTAATCCATTCAACTTCTTTTCCAACCGCCACTAAGGCTATAAATTCAAATTTCATGGTCGAATGAGATATGCAAATTTTTTTCTTGGATGCCCAAGAGATCACACCCCCATCAAGGACAAATGTCCATCCAAAGATGGACTTTTATCTCCATTACCAGTAATCCAACTCGCATCAATATACCCTTCTAATATAGTTGGATAATCATAGTAGAATAAGCCAAGTGCCAAGGTCCTTTTGAGGTACCAAAAAACTCTCACAATTGCCTTCCAATGCTCTGCACCGGGATTACTTATAAACCGATTAAGTTTACTTAAAGCATATGCGATATCAAGTCTAATAGAAAGCATAACATACGTTAGACTTCTTACTGCACTTGCATACTCAAGTTGTATAATTGTTCTATTAGAATTTTCTACTAGCTTTATACTAGAATCATATAGTGTGTTATATTCTTTAAATCATAAATGCTTAAAATTTTCAATTATTCTCTCAATATAATGTGATTGGCTTAATGCACAACCCTTACTATGCTTTTTAACTTTTATTTCCAATATTGTATCCACTCCTAAATCTTTCATCTTGAAGATAAGGGATAAGAGTTTTTAGTTTCATTTATGCCAACCATATTAGTATCCACAATAAGCATGTCATCAACATAAAGACATACAATCACACCATAATTTTCAGTAGACTTTGGATAAATGCATCTATCAACACTATTGTGCCTAAAACCAAAAGTTGGAATGCAAGAATCAAAATTTTCATGACATCATTTGGGTTGTTGTTTCAAACTATATAATGATTTAACCAGTTTACAAACTTTCTTCTCATTTCCAAGAAAAACAAATCCCTCTGGTGTTCTATGTAGATTTTTTCATTTAAACCACCATTTAAAAAAACAATTTTAACATCCGTTTGATGAATATATAAGTGATAAATGGATGTTAGTACTATAAGTGTTCTAATAGAAGTTGTTCTGGCCACAAGCGCATAGGTGTCAAAGTAGGCAATCCCTTATTTTTTACTGAATCCTTTGGCTATCAATCTAGCCTTAAAAGTTTGTACAGTTCCATTAGTATTGTTTTTTTTCTAAACACCCATTTACATTTGATTGGTTTTGATCCCAAAGGCGAGTTTACAAGTACCCATGTGTTATTTGACGTTATTAAATTCTTTCATCATTTATAGCTTCCTTCCAAAATGTATTCTCTCTAAAGGTCATGGCCTCATTATAGGTCTTTTTTTATCATTTTCAATGTTTAATACAATGGGTATTTTATTTAAAACTTTTTTCTTTATCAGCTTCAACCAAAAACACAATTGATTGAGTAGAGATAAAATCAAAACCTAAGTGTTTTTCTATTGTTTGTCTTTGACTTCTTCTAGGTTCTACTGTAGATGTTACAGTTGTGTCATTTCTTATTTTAATCTCATTGTTACCAATAGGTATTGATATATAAGTTTCTCTTACTGATTCTCTATCATTTTCTATGGATTCATAACATAGTTTATTTTTAGAGAATTCGGCATCTATAGTTTCAATTATTGTATTGGACTCCAAATCTAGAAACCTATAGGCCTTGCTATATTTTGCATATCCAACAAGTATAATCATTTTTATTTTGAGTCCTAACATGGTTCTTTTAGGGTCTGAAACTCTATAATATGCTAGGCACCCCCACACTTTTAGGTATGTTAAGTTAGGCTTTCTTCTTGTCCATACTTCATATGAAAACTTATTATTAACTATAGAAACAATTTTGTTATGTAAATGGCAGATTGCTATGAGTGATCCTTGCACAGGTTTATAGGTGCATTATCTTTCATCAACATACACTTTATCATTTCTGTAAATGTTCTAATTTCCTTTCAGCCAAGCCATTCTACTAAGGGGTATAAAGATCATAATATTGATGTATTATTCCAAATTCTTCACAAAATGAATTAAACTCATTCTTAAAGTACTCAACACCCTATCACTTTTAAGTAGTTTAATTTTATTTTCCAATTAATTTTCAACTTCACTTTTGTATTGTTTAAACATGTCAAAGGCTTCACCCTTAGTTCTCATAAGGTAGACAATATATCTTAAAAGATCATCAATATACCATTAAGTTCACAGATGTCATAATGAATTAATTATAAAAGTTAAGAATTTCAATTAACACTTGCAAAAGGTTTCTTGGCCATTTTAAATTTTACACATATCTTATATTTGTCATTTAATTCGTTACTATAAGTAATTAAACTAAGTTTATTCATATTCGTTATGGATTTAAAATTCAAGTGTGTTAATCTATCATGCCATAAAGAGAAATAATGAACAATATAAGTAGAGCATTTTCCTTCATTGATACTCAATTTGAAATACCATTACAACTATATCCCTTTCCAACAAACATTTCATTCTTAGACATGATTAATTTGTCGGATTTAAAAACAGCTTTAAATCCTCTCTTGTAGACAAGGTTTACTGAGACCAAGTTTTTCCTAATGTTAGGAACATGGAGAACATTCAAGAAAGCAAATGTCTTTTCGAAGGTGAAATTCAATTCCATGTTGCCTCTTCTAGCAATTCTGGCACATGTTTGGTTTCCCATTTGTACCTCCTAACCATCAATTTCTTCTTCATACGTTTTGAACAAGGATTTGTTCTTACATGGACTGTGGCACCTGAATCAAACCACCACCCAGAAGATGATTTTGCCATAATCACTTCAGTGATCATGGCCATCAGATTGTCTTCCACCATATTTGTAGATTTGGTTCCATATTTTCGATGTTGGTAGACTAAAGTATAGTGCCTCTTCTTTCCACAAACATAGTAAGATCTTTTGTTATTATTGCTCTTTTTGAATTTCTCGTCTTTCTTCTTTACTTGTAATACATGATTAGTCTTCTTTGATCCGTTTTCCACAAAGTTTTACCGTAGAGTTTAGCATCTTACCCCTACCATCTCTAATTCGAGACTCTTGTTTAATATGAAGGCATTGCTAAATTTGCTCCAAAGTAAGTTTTTTCTGCTTTATGCAGAAACTTCTTCCTGTATTCCTTCCAAGAGAGTGGAAGCTTGACAATTATTGCTCTCACTTGGAAAGATTCAGGAAGGATGATATTAAGGGATCAAATTCCATTGACTACCACCTATAGTTCATGAACTTGTTCCTGTATAGACTTATGGTCGTTTACGGTGAGGTCAAAGTATTATGCAATAAGATATTTGTTGATTCCTACTTCTTACACCTTGTACTTGAATTCCAAAGCCTTCCAAATTTTTTTTAGAGATGAGAGTTTCTTGTAGAAGTTGTAGAGGTGCCGGTCTAATAAGGCATTTAGTATATGTCTTCGACACAAAAGGTGAATCTTCTCATTTGGTTCTTTCCTTCTTTAGCTTTTCAATGTCCTTGTCGATGGGTTTAGGAAGAGATTGCAGATGTGGATCCAGAAGATAGTACAATTTCAGTATGGTAAAAAAGAAAATCATCTTGTCTTGCCATCGACTAAAATTTACCCCATCAAACTGGTCCAATCGAACAAGGTCTTGGTTCATCATCTTGATTGAAGTCATGCTTGCTTTCACCTCCATTACAAAATAACGTCCTAAAATTGTTGAGAAATTGGGGTCACTAAAACTTGGAGGAGAAGCTCTAAGGCGTGTCTAAAGGCATTGTCTTTAGAATGCTATTTTCCCTCACCCAGTTTTACTGAATTTGTTGTTGGGTTATAAGCAAATCCATTCCCATGATACAACAAACCCTTGGGTGAGAATCTGCAACTAGCAAAGTTGAAGAGTCTCTGAAGAAACCTTTTGTGAGACAGTAGTAGATCAAACTGAGAGAGATAAAAGTAATTTTAAAAAGCTTGTGTTTATTTACTTGATTCACGCTCCTTAAATAATTTCTGAAGAGTCATGGAGCAGAGGAAGGTATTGGTTCAAAAAATGTTCATTGAACAATCATAAATTCAAACATCGTGACAGGTTCAAAGTTAATGACTATTAACTTTGAATAGTGCCTCTTGATCACACCCGATTGAATCATGACCATTGAAACATCAACAGTCAGCATCGCACTAAAAGTCAAAGTATACCTCTAAAAAGCCTCATTGCGCCGCACACACACACATACACACACACGTTGTGCAGTAACAAACCTTTGTACTTTCCTCTTTATTTTGGAGTGTAAATAAGCTCTTATTTAAAAACTTAAAATAAGTTTTGTAATTTTTCAATGTAAGACAAATTGAAAACTGGTTTTAATAAGAGAAAAAATTATTTTTCAAGACACATGTGAAAATGTGATTTTAATGCAATTGATCAATCAAACTGTATTAAGTTTAATCTCTAATGAGATTAAAATCCAACAAAATTTAAATGCAAATACAATTCACTTGGCCTATCAGAAACCACTGAATTTCTATCCCTTCCCCTCTCTTAGTTAAACGATCCTAGAGAGAGAGAGAGACCACCATGCAATGATCGGATTAAACAATCTAGCATGTAATCTTTTTAGTATGGCGAACTTGACTAATAAATTTCTTGGTCAGGCTTGACGCACCTTTTTTTGACTATTGAAAACTGCTCCTCACAAATTCTGCGTCTCACAGGTACATTTACCATGCATTGTGAATATCTCCCGTGAGTAATAACTAATAAGTAGGGGAGAGGTTCCCCATGCATGTGCGTGTGAGACGCCTGTGGGGCGCAAGATGTGAAGAGCAGATCCGGTTCATTTTCTTCCTACTGTGGCAAGATTCTTGAGAGCGTTGATATTTACCATGCATTGGGAATATCTTCCATGAGTAATAACTAATAAGTAGGGGAGATGTTCCCCATGCATGTGCGTGTGAGACGCCTGTGGGGCGCAAGACGTGAAGAGCAGATCCGGTTCATTTTCGATTCTTGAGAGCGTTGATATTAATCAGGCCTGACCAAGATATAATGGGCATGTGAAATAGCAACATCTCTCGGCCAAAATGCAGCCAGAAAGTGTTGATATATCAAGATTTATCAAACATCAGCTTCAATGGGCAGCATTAGATGATGTCTCCTTGCTTCCAGATGCAATTGATTTTGCATCTATCTGCACCTGATTATTACTGCTAGGCTGTATTTGCTTTTGCAAGTGAAAGCATTTATCTTTCGGAAAAATATAGACAGGCCCAAGGCCCAATGTAGATTTTTAAATTTTACTACAGACCTAAAAACATTGAAAATGTCAATGTCGGCCGTATTTGAATTGACATTAATTCCAAGCACATTTATCGAGCCTAAAAATTATGACCTTAACTGAACCGTCATTCTCCCTTTATCTTTTCAATGAACCGCGACCAATAAACCAAAGTTCCCCAGCCGTGCTAAACAATGGATTGGATTTAAACGTGGACGTGGGTGACTGACTGTCTGACTGATATAAAAGGGTAAAATTGGGTATTAAGAGATTATTAACAGTGGGGAGGTTTAAGTTCTTTTACCCTTTAAAAAAAGTGTGAACAAAGGGGGAAAATGGACGGGTGTAGCAAATCAAATCAAGATATAAAAGAAAATGTAAGGACACGTGTTATAAAGAAAACGAAACATGTGAAGCAAATTAAAATTAAACAGAACCCCATTGTATCCAATTTATTCAAAGAGAGTCACACAACAACAGACGATCGACGATCGAACAAAACAAAACAAAACACAACACAACAGACGACGACTACAGAGTACAAACACAAAATATCATCCTGATTCCTGAATAAAGTTCACTTATTAGAAACCACTCAAGCGCAACTCCAGACCAGTCGATCATCATCACCACATTCTGATTGGTTAATTAGAACCTCATCAGGTGGAAACAGGTAGAATTGGTTAATGGAGAGGCCTAACATGCACACCGATTGAATTCAGAAACGAACCAGACGTTCCATGGAATCCAACGATCATGCCATTGGCAGCCCGATAAGTGAAGGATCGTCTGCCTGTTCCAAAACCAAAGGGTCCGTATCTTCTTCTGTTTGTTTCAATTTCAAGTGTGTGAACAGCCTTGACCACTGGAAGCCATACAAAGGTACCATAGGTCACATGGATTGCCGTGATAAATTCGTCCGGGTAATCAAGATCTATCTGCATGATTGTAGGCAGTGAAACAAAGGATTAAAATATCGTATTGTATAAAATAATTTAGATATGATTTAAATGCGGATACAGATATGCTATGCTTAGGAAACACATGGATACATTCAAAAAATATGAAAATGCTTGGATATGGTAGCGAAATGTATACAAATTTCATAAATATTTTATTAGCAATAATTTTAATATCAAAATAACTATAAATACATAGTAATTATATATTTTAATGATATATGAAAAAATATATTATAATCAATATAACGGGATGCACAAATAATATATAATTTTATCAATGATGCATCAATCAAGAGTCAAAAGACATATTATATTATGGATTTTTACAAATTAATACTTGTAAAAAGCCATTATTGTTTTATTTTCTATTAAATTCCAAGGCAAAATCATATGCAACTATTATTTCTATCTTATTATTTTTTATTTCTAACATTAACAAAAAATTAATTCTCAAATGTTTGGTAAACAATATTTTCATTTTTATAAACAATAAATATTTTATTATAAAATGTAAATTAAAATAACAATTAATAATTTATAAAAATAAATAATCTTAACTTAAAATATATCAAACCTATTAAAATTTTTTAAGATGCATATCATATGAAAATTCATAAATTTTAATTACTAAAACAATTATTCCAGTATTAATATTTTTATTTTGATAACTTTTCTAAATAAAAAAAATATTTTTTATATAAATGTAGATTAGTCAATTTAATAGATTCAATTTATAAAATCTATTATATTCTCAGATATCTTGTAAGCAATATTTTTATCTTTGTAAATAATAAATACAATGTTATTTAATGTAAATTAAAATATTAATTAATAATTTATAAAAACTTTAAGATACATAACATGTGCAAATTTATAAATTTTAAGTATTAAATATTTTATTATTATTTTTTATTTTTATAATTTTTTTGAAATTAAAAAATCATCTTTAATATACATGTAGATTTGATCAATTATTTATTCTATCGATTTATAAAATACTAATTTTAAATATTACTTTCTTTTAATTTGTAGTTGGATTTGTTGAATATAAGTGTATGCTTGATTGCATGCAGACATTAATGTTAATAAAAGTTAATTTATTTCAGCTATTGTCATGAAGTAAAGATGGCATAGTGGCTAAATACGTATGCACTCTACAGTGTTGTTGTGCTAAACGACTTGGGTTCCAACCAAGCTAGGTTTTCTGATATTTAAATCCTTGGGTTATAGTGCTTGTGTATGGTTTGCAGCAGGGCGGAACCAAGATTTGTTTTCTATTTTTTAGGGGGTAAAAACTAATAAACAACATTGGCAATGCAACCTCGATAGCCCAAACCATCCCCAACTTGACCTAAGATTTTGCATAAGTTGGGCTTGGGTTGAAGTCTAAGGTGGCCCTAACCTGGCCTAGCCCACCCAACTTGATCCCTCCTAAATAAATACATACATACGCACATACATATATATGAACATTTTTATCTATATAAAATTATCATTTGCCATTATGTGTGTACATATATATGTGTTATGTATCGATTAATTAACTAGTTTAATTTAGTGATGGGGAACAAAAATGCCTTAAATATATAATTCAATGAGGAAAAATTGGAGATAATACCTTAATGCGGGACTTATAAAGGGATTTAAATTAATTAAATAATAATATTTAAATTACATTTTATGCCCTCACAATAAAATGGGGCGATATTTCAAAAAGATGGTTACTATATAAAATCAAATATAATCCCAAGTTTTCTATAATTCTTTCTATTTTCTTTGTGATTCTTTGTATTTTCTATATTCTTAAAAAGAATGACTATGACATCATTTCATTTCTAGGCTTATTTTTAGATTTCATCTTCTATTTTCATCATTAATATAAATACTTCTTACATTAGTTATGCAACTTAATGAAAGAGAATAATAAAATGGTTTCATTTTTTGTTAGTTTTAAATTTTATATTCCATTTCCATCATTAATAAAAATATTTCTTAGCTATTATACTTATTTTGTTTAATATGACGAATAATATTGCAGATGTGCCCCAAATTTTCTTCATTTTTCTATATTTTTATTTTATCTAATTTTTGAATTAATAATTATGGCACCTTGAGTTGGCCGATTTGACCCAAAATGGTTAACTTCTTACCACAACCTAGATGAAAATATGGTCTTGCTTTCCAATTGATGTTAAAAATATTAGCTTTATACTATTAAAATTATTATGTATGGATTTAATCAATGGGAATTAGTATAGGGAACAAAAGTGTCTTAAATAAGATTCAATGAGGAAGAATGGAGATTAATACTTTTAATGTAGGACTTAATGAGAGGGAACCGAACCATCTAAACATTCAAATTACAATTTCTGCCCTCATAATAAAGAGGGATCATATTTCAAAAAGAGAGGTATTTTAGTCAAAAAAATCTAGAAATATGATACCCTATTCATACATTTTATAATAGTATAGATATAGATATAAATGTATAAAATATGTATATTTGCATTTATCAATGAAATTTATACATATTTTCAATCCATTCTACTTCTAAGTTGGGATTCATAGCCTGACAAAGGGATCAACTATGATATTGGAAAAACTTACAGCCAATCAACCAGTATCATAAAAGAGGCAACCAATTAGATGGTATTCATGACAATTCAAAAGGGTGCTTTGATTGGACAAAACTCTTCTATTACCATGTCTTTCTGATACCATAGATTTTTCCTTCTACAAAAATATAATCATAAAATCTTTTAAACCCAACCAACCCGTCCAAGCCCAACCCAAATTGTGTTGGGTTAAGATCAAGTTGGACCTAAGTTGGTAAACTCAGGCTTAACCTAAGGTTAAGCCATCCTTGAGCTAGATTGAAGTTTGTATCTTAGGACGGCCTGGGTTGACCCCAAACCCACCCAAGGTGCACCCCTAATAAACATGAATGAGACAAGAGGGCCAAATTTGTATATTATATTAATACTATAAGTGGGGATTCTTACTGGGGAAGTACCATGGTTTTTAAAACCGAACCGGTTAGGGGTCTGGTTACTGGTTCAAACAGTTTGACCGTTTGACCCAAACGGCCAGTCCGTTCTAACAAAAAAAATTAAAAAAAATTGAAAAACGGTCAAAACCGTTCAAATGGTTTGAACGGTTAACCGTCCGGTTCAATAGTTTTCTGACCAAAATCAATGATTTTGAGGAAAAAAATGGATTTAGGAAAAAAATGGAACCGGTCAAGTGACTGATTCCCAATTTTTCCGGTCCAGTTTTGAAAACCATGCGGGGAACTTTGATGTGTAAGGGGACTAAGGATCCGCTTAGTCCCTTGGCTCTTTCCCTAAATTGCAGTTATCATAGCTATCAATGGGTTGGGGTTTACCCAACCAAACTGATTATTTCAGCCTTGGTTCTACATATGATTTTGTCCCCATTAATAATTGGGTGAGGACTGGTTCTTTCCATTCTGAACCAATTCAGACATGGAACGATTGTATAATTAATAATATATAAAGATTTCCTGTATTTTTTCTTTGTAAGTTTTGTTATATTTTATGTAGGATAAATTTCATTAACAATATCTAAGAGAACTAGCTAGAAAACACATATTTTATAAAAAAAAAAAGAGTTTAATATTTTACCATCAATTTAATTAAAGTTATCTTATTAATAATGAAGTTCTAAATTATTATTAAGGATAACTTTTGGGGTTTAATTTTCATAAAAGTAATATATTTAAAAATTTTCAAAAATAGGTTAACTTTTTAAAAATAATATCAATAAAGGACAAAAACATTGTTCATCTTCTTCTTCTTGCCATTTGTTCACTAGAGCCACTGTCCGTTGCCACCCGCCGCCACGTCCGCCTCTGGAAAAGTTGTCGGAGGTGGCCGAAGGCAGAGGTGGTGGTGGCAGCGCTGGTGGTCATTTCTCTGGCCGCCGCCGCCGCCACCTCTGTCTCCACCCATCTCTGGCAACGTTGTTGGAGGCGGAGGCGAAGGTGGTGGCGTTGGACAGAGAAACCACCAGTGCTACTGCTGCCACCTCTGGCAACATTGTTGGAGGCAAAGGCAGCAATGGGCGGTGGTGGCAGCGCTGGTGGTCATTTCTCTGGCCGCCGCCGCTGCCACCTCTGTCTCCACCCATCTCTGGCAACGTTGTTGGAGGCGGAGGCGAAGGTGGTGGCGTTGGACAGAGAAACCACCAGTGCTGTTGCTGCCACCTCTGGCAACATTGTTGGAGGCAAAGGCAGCAATGGGCGGTGGTGGCAGGTAGTGGCAAATGGTGGTGAACGGCGGCTCTAGTGAACAAATGGCAAGAAGAAGAAGATGAACAGTGTTTTTGTCCTTTATTGATATTATTTTTAAAAAGTTAACCTATTTTTGAAATTTTTTTAAATATATTACTTTTATGAATATTAAAGTCCAAAAATTGCGCTTATATGCTATTACTCCTTATTATTATCATTGATAATTATAAATGCCAAATATGATTAGGTCTAATTAGGTCAGACCCAATTGTTATGATTAAAAATTGGAACACGACTGATACACATATTGTCCCAAACAACAACCCACATTTGCTACGACAGTGTCATCGCCAACTATCTCAAAGTCTTTGATTTATTGACGTGACCCTACCTTAAATTAAATTAAATGAACTGACAACTTGGCAGGGCCACATATATAAATCAAAGGCCTTGATTTTGTGTTTTAGCCTTGTGCTACGACACTGACGAGCAAAAGTTTAATTGATTGTGCTCTCAGTTGAAGAAATGAGCTGTGTCTTATCGTAGATTTAATTTTGAAGGCCCATAGACCTGAGATTGGGTTCTTAAACTGCACTACTCTGGTCCATGACAAACAGATAAGGGTTTGTGCTTAGAAAAATTGTCTCAGTTCAAAACTTCCATTTATATAAATATTTTTTTTTTCATGTAATTAATTTCCATGCACTCTTGTACATGTAACTGGATTAGTGCCCGGATTATAACAAAAAAAGAAAAGGAAAAATCTGTTGCTCACCTCACTGTGTATAATAGGCTATGTAACTAATTATGAGTAAATTCCGTACACATGGGTGTCCAAGTATTTCATACAACCTGCTCACCACTCTCCCATGTGGACCTGTTTATGAACCGAACTTTGGACCCAACTTTACATTGTCTTGAGCTCGGACTTTGGGCCGAACCTATTAGAATTTTGACAAAAGTCAAACCTGTGCCCGACCCATGAAGAGGTCTGTGTGTATGGAACATTGGCCTTGCGTGTTCACTTGTGATATTGGTTATGTAGCTTATTACGCACAGGGTGTTGAATAGATCCTGCGTGGACTACAAGAGCACTATTCTAAAAAAATAGAAAACTATAAAAACCTCCCTATAGATCTGATAAAGAAAATGTGTAAATATCTCAATAACAGAAATATTAAATTTATAAAAATATATACCCTTACATTTAAGGCATTATCATAGAATTTATGAAAATAACCTTATTATCGTTAAGAACAAATTTGTTTTTTCTTTTTTGAGAAATTTTAATAAATACAAATTTGATCAAGGGCAAATCTAATATCTTAAAATTTTAAAGAGGTATTTAGATGTTTTCTTTTAATAATACAAGGGAGGTTTTCTTTTTTCAAGAGAAAAGGAGGAATTCAAGAGAAATAGAATATAGAGAGAAGCATGAGAATTTTAGTGTTGAGTAGTTAAGTGGACTAACCTCGGATCGTGTGCCACCACCCCCTCCATGCCTCCCATGACTGACTGATCTGCCTTCATCATCTCCGTACTCGACCTCAATGGAATCAATTACCCATCCATGCGATATAATCAACCGCTTTACGGTTGAATGGGATCCGTCGTCCCACTCTCCCCCGCCACGGCCACCCCAAGGCCCGTCTGATATGATGTTGCCGTTCAGTTCCATCATGACTACCACTCATACACACTAACATTAATCCATGAAAGTTTGCATTTTAGGTATATCCAGAAATCAGAAATGAAACACATATAAATAAATGAAAGCCGATAACTTGCTAATCAATGCTATCAATGATTTTGTCTGCCTTCGGAGTCTGAATCACCTGTCAATAAAAAGTGTTCCAACACCCTCCCAACATCATCTGATACCGTATATCTCGTATATGGTAGGTCTCACTTTATGATAGGCCTCAATATCATATGATATTAAAATGTGTAGTGTCGAATCATGTTGGCTATTGGAACGTATTTTATTGACAGGTGATCCCAACTCCTGCTTTTGCATTTTTTTTCTGGTCTCCTGCTTTTACAGTTTTGGGGCGCATTCTGTGAATACATGTCCATTTCCACTTGAATTGCAACTGGGTACCCATGGGGCTCCTGTCAAGGCTCAAGACTTCAAGAGCCAGAGTCAACCACTCTCGGCACTTAACAATTGTCACCCACGAGAAAGCTGGCCCTCTTGCCTTCATATTACTTAATTGTGTGGTCGGTTGGCTGGTTAGCCTTTGTATTAGGCTCTCTTCACTGCGTCTTTTCATACAGGCTGTCGATTTCTGGTAATTTGCCTTTTGATATTTTCTTATTTGATTGGAAAAAAATTTAATTATCAAAAAATTTTGTTCCGAAAAGATACATAAGGTTCATTTTGGACTATTTTTATTTTTTAGAAAGTTTTAAATAGAATTTTTCGATTTTTTTCAGCGTGTTTTCATGTGAAAAAAAATATATATATATATCTTAACGAAACGATATTCAAACTATTAAAATCTTAATGCAAAAAATCTTTCAAAAAAAACTTGACAAAAGGCATCTAATTTGCTAATAGTGCTTCAGCCAGCCTTCAATTACAAAGCCAAGCTTACTTGCTCATCTGTCCACGCTGCAGTGACATGCGTTGTTTATGGACCTTGTGGTTAACAAGACCCAAGAAAAAGTATTTACCATCTTGTATTGCTTTGTCTAAGGCTGGAGTTCTGCTTATGTGTACAATTATTTGTGAGAAATCTATGGTGAATATGGACACGTGGGCATGATGGCAATAGCAAATGATATTGGAGATATTACTTATTAGGATTGGTTTCGGTTCACAAGTGGGCTTCATTAATTGCTTGGGCCCTTGAATTCGTATACGAGTCTAAATCCACGCTGGCCTTTATCTTTATGACTTTACGAACCGATGCATATGCTGTCAATTAGTCGGATCTGGTTAGTAAATTCTGGATCAGCCTTATTAATTGGTTCTATTTGAAAATAGATCCATTATTGAGCCGATAATAGGACCAGACGAAAGCCAATTGGCCAACTATACCTGACTTCACCTCTATAATTAATGGAGGTCTGCTCGGTCTCCCCTTTGAACAAGAAACAAACTGCATTATTGTTCTCCATTCATCAATCTCTCCGCGAATTTAATCGACGAATGGGCAAAGGTCAATGAACTTCAATTCAAATTAATTAATGTTTTTAACTGGATGAAGCTCATTCCATTTCATGTATATATCACTTTGTCCTAAGACAGCATTCATTGGAGACAATCCTCCATAGAACTGGATTAGTCTTTTGTCTAGACCAATAATCTTCTTGCGTTTTTCATTCTTAACATGAGGTGGGATGTAGGCGCTTATGTCAGGTCAATGGCACGTCAACGCGTGGTGGACGGCGGCGTACAGTATGGATCTGATAGGGATGTCGCACGGAGCAGAAGCTGGCATCCGATGCGGGCCTAATGGCGTGGCTGCACGCGGCGACCTCGGATGGTCGTGCGACAGGGTCGGACTGCATCCTGACCGTCCACACCCACCTACTCTTAGAATCTCTTGATGTATTGTTGAGCAGAACATTGACAGAGACTTGCAGATGTCCCGGAAATGTAGGTGGAGGGATTGGTTGATGATGGAGAGGCTTGACATGGACACTGATTGAATCCAGATACCAACCAGACCTTCCATGGAATCCGACGATCTTCCCACAGGGAGCTTGATATGAGAAGGTTGCTTTGCCTCTTTTAGAACCAAAGGGTCCGTAGCTTTTTCTGTTTGTATCAATTATAAGTGAATGAATAACAATGAACCCCGGAAACCATAGGAAATCACCAAAGGAACCATACGTCCCATGGATTGCAGTGATGAACTCGTCCGGGTAATCGCATAATTTGTGAGCAGTGAAGAACTTTTTAGGTTTTAGTGCAGGGGTGAGGGGACAAAAGCTGATGCAACCTGTGCAGGCCCGACCTTAGCCCGACCTGACCTGAGATTTTGCTTGGACCAGAAAACTCGGACCCGACCTTCACTCAGGTTGAACTTAGGTTGAAGTCTCAGGTAGCAGCCGAACCCGAGACCCCCTAAAGAAATACATACACCAGACATTTATGGGCATATTTTATCTATATAAAAATTTCATTTCCCATTATGTGTATTAATGGAATTTAGTGATGGGGCGCAAAAATAACTTCAATATATGATTCAATGAGGGAAGCGGGAGGTAATACCTTTATTGTTGGACTTATGAAAGGAAATTGAATTAACTAAATAATAATATTCAAATTATATTTTCTATCGGCCCTCACAATAAAGTGAGACCATATTTCAAAATGAGGGGTATTATATAAAATCAAATATGTTTTCAAATTTTTTATATTTTTTTTTGCCCGTTTGCCATTCTTTGAATTTCTATGTTTTAAAATTTCATTATTTCATTTATTCGTTAATATAAATACTTCTTTTATATATATAGATATATATAATACTTACTTTTATTTAGTATGATGGATATATAATATTAGAGATATGTCCAATTCTTTTTATTTTTTTATTTTTTTATATCTTATCTATTTTCAAATTTTTATTATTTAATTATTTCATCATTAGTTAACCCAATTAACCCCAAATGATTGAATTGCTAATCCAACACTAGAAGAGAAGAAAATGGTTTTGTTTTAAGGTTACTTTTCAAAATATTGATTTTTATAATATTAAAATTAATGTTATGGATTTAATTAGTAGAATTTAATGATAAGAAATGAATATATCTTAAATTTAGAATTAAGTGGCAAAATGAGAGTGAATACCAATGTTTTAAAAACTGAACCATTTTTGCCTTCGAGTCGTGGGTCACCAGTTCGACCGGCTAGGTCAAACAGTTCAAACCATGCCAAGTCAGCACATATATGTATTTAAGTATGTATGTGTATATATATATATATGCATGTGTATATATGTATAAAATATGTTTCAGATATGTTATATTTATTATTCTATATTTAATTTATGTTTTTAATTCAGTTTTTTATTTTTATTTATCAAAAATATAAAAAATTGCAATTTGAGGCCAAAAGGGGGGTTTTTCGTGAAAATAACAGGGCTTGGAACACATAGATCTCAAAAAGTTACCCAAAATAAAAAAAAATACCCCAATCGGACACCGAAGTGCAAAGTTATGGCCTCTGAAAGTTTGCATGCATTGAGTGTGCAACCCGCGACCCAATCACCAGGTTGAACGGGTCAATAGTCGAACTAGCCAAGTCAAATGCTTCTTAACTAAGTCAATGGTTTTTGATTGTCTGGCGGGTCTTGACTGAACTGGACCTAGAATCCTTACCGGGTGACGGTTCAAACAATTCAACCGGTTGGGTCAACAACAGGTTGAAAACATTGGTGAATACCTTAAATATAGGACTTAATATGAAAACAGTTTTATTTTTTGTTGGATTTTAAATTTTATGTTCCACATTCATCATTAATGTGCCCCAAATTTTCTTCGTTTTCTATATTTTTTGTATTTTATCTATTTTTGAATTTTTATTGTTTATGGCATCTTGGGTTGGCGCATTTGACCCAAAAGGTTTAACTTCTTACCACCACCTAGATGAAAAAAATGGTTTTGCTTTTGGGTTGATCTTAAAAATTTTAGCTTTCATATTACGAAAATTTTTTGCATGTATTTAATTAGTTGAATTTAGTGATGGGGAATAACAATGCCTTAAATATATGATTCAATGAGGAAGAATGTTGATTATTACCTTTATTGTGGACCTTAATGAGAGGGAATTGAATTAACTAAACAGTAGTACTCAAATTACAACTTCTGTCCTCACAATAAAGAGGGACCATATTTCAAATGAAAGGGTATTTTAGTCAAGAAAAACTCCAAGAATATAACATCCTATTCATACTTTTTATAGTAATATAGATGTCTAAAATATGTATGTATGCACCTATTAATGAAATTTATACTTATGAAGTGACCAATCAAATGGTATTCATGATCACTATTTTCAAAACCAGACCAGACCAGACGGCCGGAATAGAAAAACCAGGAACCGGTCACCTGACCGGTTCCGTTTTCCTCCAAAACCGTTGATTTTGGTCAGCAAACCGCTGAACCAGCTGATTAATCATTCGAACCGTTTGAACGGTTTTGACCGTTTTTCAATTTTTTTATGTTTTTTTGTCAGAATGGGCCGACCATTCAAGTCGAACGATTGGACAGTTCGAACCGATAACCAGACCCCTGACCGATTCAATCACCAGTTCGTTTTTAAAAACCATGTTCATGATAACTCACAAGGGTGCTTTGATTGGTCAAAGCTCTCCCAAAATCATGTCTTTTTATATCATAGATTCTTCCTTCTACAAAAATATAATCACAAAATTCTTTAAACCCAACCTACCCATCCAAGCCCAGCCTAACCCAACCTGCACCCGAACTCAACCCAAGTTGTGCTGAACTAACCTCAAGTTGGGTCTAGATTAATAAATTCAGGCTTAACTTCGAGTTAAGCCAGGTTTCAACTATATCTTAGGGTTGGGCCTGGGTTGACTCCCAACCCAACCCAAACTATGCGATATCAATACAACTAAGCAACTAACATGGAAAGAACATACTATCTACCAAGAGACCTGGTTTCTTTTACAATTTTTTTATTACAATCAATTTAACTGGACAATATGATAATAATGTAACAACCAAGATCTCTTAGCTAAGGGATGTACTGTTTTCAAAGCTTGATCAGTGAAAA